CAGATAAAGAAGTGGTGTGGTGTGCGAGAGTCACAGTAGGGGAAAAAAAAAGGGTCGAAAGGCGGCGCTGCTCGGGTGTGGGGAAAGGCGCAAGAGAAAAAGAGAGGCCAAGCATGCTTACCTTGGGGGGGTTCTGGAGAGTGGGAGAAAGAAAGAACCGCAGCTGAAAGGATGAACAAGAACCAAAGGGACAAGAGGATCAGATCTCCGCCTGGGCGTCCAGCTCGCCGCTGCTACGATTGCCTCGCAATGGGCAGAAGGGACTGGGAGAAGAGAAAGTCGAAGAAAGAGAGCGAGAGTGTGAGAGCGAAGTGAAAGGGAGGACGAGGCGATGGTTATAGTGTTATTAGTGGAGGCGAGGCTTTGCCTTGCGAAGTACTCCGTACCTACATGGCGGGAGCGGAGGTACTGCTGCGCGATGGATATAGGTCTGTAGTGGGATGGATACGTGCCAGACCGATGTGCTGCACCGCTGTAGCCAGTGTCGAGAGCCACTGCGACCCCTGCCCGCCTCTTGCCCCGGAGGCTAGCGGGAAGTAGCACATAGGTACCGGCACGTTGCACGACTAAGGACTTGGACTCCTGGTCGGTAGGCAAGATATATGGCTTGAAGCATGCGATACAGTGCTAATCAAGGCCATCAAACTGTATGCGTTTTTCTCAAAAGTACTGCCCTTACCTCATGAACGGGCAATGGTACGTGGGAACCAAAGGCAAAGCCGGTGCCTCTCTGTGTTGTCTCGTGGGGCTTGGGCTGGGTTTGGTAGCGTCGACACATGTACCAGGAACAGATGGCAGTACGCAGTATATACCAGCACGTGTCCCTTGAGCTGGTCCTGAGCTCTGGCCAAGGGCGTTCCTGGCTGAAAGCACCCTGTGCCGCGTGTTTGTTCGTCCAGTATCGTGCGGCTCCCGAAGATCCATATGCCCAGCTTCTGCGGGCTGCTGCTGCACTCCAGCGAGTTTGCGCTGTTGTCACTTGCGCATTGGGCTCTGCAGCACGCCCTGCGCACAACGCGTTGTACCGTTACGCAGCCGACGGATGGCGGACTGCGCCGTGTCGACCCAAACGCCTAGCCTTCCGGGGCTTTTTGGGGCTATTCTGGGATCTGCGGGAGCGGCGCCGAGCCTCTGACGGCGCCATCGTGTACAGGAACTTTGCGCTTCAATGGCCCAATGTCTGTACATGCGCTCAACACTCGGCAATGCGCGCTGCAGCACTGCATAGGTAGCAGGTGCAATTGAATCTCTACCGGGTCAGGCACAGTGCCAGCAGTGCATTGCAGCGCAGCACGGCGTGGCGCGGCCGTATTTTTTGGCCTTTGTGGGTATCTCAGAGGTACCTCACTTTTATTTACCCTTTGCCTGAAACCTTGCTGAGATGGGGCGCGTGAGCATGTACAAGACGGTCCCGAGCAGCACATCGTTTGATATTGTTGGCATCGTTAATACTACCCCCATCGTTATTAGTTGACGGTACTCCTTGCAAAGCCTTTGGTGCTAGTCCTAGCTATGGCCACGGCCAGAGCGAAAGATCGGACAGGCGAACTTTCTGGAACTCTTTGAGCGTCATACAGCGAAAATCATGCAGCTAGCCAACGGTCCCCATTCGGCACGACAATCTACAGATTTGTTATTGCGTGCATTAGCAAAAACTCTCTTTTTCTCTTCATCTGCCCGGTGTCATTTGAAGGAATAAAGAAGGGTATTCATGACTGTGTGGGATATCGACTGCGCCTATTGTGGCTGTAGGGAGAGACAACGCATACGCTATAAGATTACATGATCCGTTGATGAATGTCACACTGCATCAAGGGCTGCAGAAATGCAAACAGCGCCTGCCTCGCGATAGATACGGCTGTGATAATAGCGGTGGTCACGCGACAGAGACCGGACGGGTAAGTTTGGTCCTCAGGTATCAGGTAGGTAAGCTTCCCGCAAGTTTCAAACAAATCGTAGTGTAAACACAGTAGACTGCCCATAGCCAAAAGTCCAGATTGTCTCTCCATGCTTCGTATCCGACTCAACCTTGCAAAAGCCCTCCAGGGTTCTGAGCACTAATCCAGCCTAGTGAGTTCCGTACCCACCATAGCTCGCCGGCCATACGCCTCAAAGCGTTTTGATGGGAATCGTTCAACAAGGTGAGCAACAATCAATTCTCTCACTCGTGCACATGTTTTTGTTTGAGTTTTGTTCTATTGCGAGCTTTGCTTTGACAGCATCCGCATTGATATGAAAGAAGACAGAAATTGAATGGCTCTCCCATCTGCCCGCACCTGAGCATCCTTGTCTCCTTTGACACTCTCGCTGTTAGAGACTGATAAACGCAGGACTAACATGGGGGTTCAAGGACAATGGCGATGTGAACGACCAGCTCTTGCATTTATACGGGTTATTAATAGCTATAAGCTCAAAGCACTCAAGCTGTGATATACACTGTCCAAGGAAACTGAACAACAATCTCTTTGAAACATTCTTTGCCCTCTTTCATCGTCAATTCCTCGCCTCATACTACTATCTTCACCCACTTTGTAGCAATCATAGCGCATCCACTGTTTTATTAGCTTTCGGTGAACTAAAAATATATCTAAGTAAAAGATCTCCCTACTTGAGCATCTAGACAAAGCGTTGGGAAGAAAGGCCCCTTGAGCTGAATTCTCCATTGCTAGGCGCAGTAACAAAGCGTACCTCTTAGAAGAAAACGGCCGTTGGGTCAGTCTGGAAGTGGGCTAAGATCTGGATATACTGGACCACTGAATTTCCACGGGTACTAGGTAAGGTAGGTAAATATCATAATTCAGAGGTATCCATCGCATAAAGTTATGCTGGCCTTCTCCGAATGCATTAGGCCGGGTCCTGCTTTGAGATGTCTCGTAGCTCTTTAGCTATCACACGTCCTACAAGCCAATCATACATCTCACGCACAATTTGATCATATGTAGATCATGCCATGCAATAAATCAATTCAATTATTTTTGTTCTCCTTTTTTTTCCGGTATCAAGATATAGGGTGGACGGCAAATTCAAGGTCGAGATGGACAGATGCGCTTCAGTGAGCAAAAAAGGAGATTTAATACAGATGGCCTTTTTCACGCAATACCATGACTTTAACCTCCCCACTTCTAGATGACTCTGACTGTTGTACAAGCTTTTTACGCCCTAATAACCCCTTTCTATACCCGCAGACCCAGCTCCTCAGCATAAGGCAGCACAAACAAGTCGCCAACGGAAGAGACTGTGGCCTTTCCATCGAGAAGGGCCTTGGCAGTCTAGAGAGTGACACATTCATATTAGTATAGTTCAACAACAGGACAAGGAAATGGGGGATAGGAAATTAAGAAAGCGACTTACAGTCTTCAGCTTATCGGCGGTAACAGCGTCGAGAGACTTGGTCAGAGCAACAAGGTCCTGGACCTTGCCGTTGTTGACGAGACCAGAGCCGGCCAACAGAACGCTGGAACCACGAGTCTGAGCCTTCTCCAGCAGGTTGAACTTGGCGTTGGCAATGGCCTTGGCCACATCCTCCTTGCTCACAGTGCCGGCAGCAATGTTCTTCAGGGCCTTGACAGTCTCCTCAGCGGCCTTGCGAACAGAGGCAGCGGCACCAGTCAGCTGAACAGTCAGGAGACCAGCATCAGAGTAAGCCTGGTTGGCTGAAGCGACGGAGACGCCAGGGGTTCCAGCAGTAGCCTTGGACAGAAGGCTGAAGCCAGGAGCCCACTTGATGGTGGGCTGGGCGCCGAGCAGGGTAGCCAGAACCTCAATCTCGGGCTTGGAACCAGTGCTGTCTGAGCCGGGGAAAGCAATCACGACCGAGTTGCCAGAGGCGTGGCTGGTTCGCTGCTCACCACCAAAGTACTTGGTGGCCTCAGTCTTGAGAGTCTGTCCGCTGCGAGCGGCAGCAGGGACGCCCTTGAAGAACTGGTCGACCCACTTGGACAGGGACTGCGCACCAGCGCCATCGGCGACAACAGCAATGTTGGGCTTGGAGTAGACGACGTCGGCAAAGCTGGCAACGTACTCCTCGTTGACGTACTTGTTGAAGGGAGCGGAAGGAGAGGGATTCAAGGCGGCACCGAGACCAGAGTGGAAGGCCACAGCGTGAGCGTTGTCCAGAGCGAGGCCGGCAACATCGGCGTTGACAGCAGCCTTCTTGTAGGGCAGGATTCGTTCAATCTCCTCGTGGAATTCGTGAGCTGGTAGCAAGTAAATTTTTTTTAGTCTCAGTCAAGCACTATCAACGTTTTTTTCGCGAATCGGCCATCTCTTACTGGTGTACTTGGTCTGGGACACAACCTCAGCCAGGAGCTCAGCGAAGTAGGGTAAATCGTCGCGCAAGAAGCTGGCCTCGATGACGAGGGCCTCACGGGTGTGAGAGGCAGTCAATTGACCTCCGAGAAGCTCGGACTCGCGGGCAATGCGAAGGGCAGATCGTCGCTGGGTGGTCTGGAAGCCATACAAATTAGCTCAAGCTGCGCCAACAGACGGAACCGCCCTTACCTTGAAAGCAAACTGCTCCAGGCCGTAGGTCAGACCAGGAAGAGGCTGGTAACGAGTTCCGGCCTTGGCAACAACGGCCAGTGTCGTGGTCGGTCCCTGAGTGTCTTTGGAAGCAACCTTGAGTCCGTTGATATCGGCAGTCTCGTACGATCCGGTGGGGGCTGCAGCGGCGGCAGCAAAACCTCGGCGAGGCACAACGCCTGACCGGCGGGCGGCCTGCTGCGCACTTCTCGAGAGAGCCGATCTCGAAATCATTGTCGAGGGTGTTGGCGTAGTCAATTGGCAGTCCTTGAGGCGTCGTGGTAGAGCAGTGGTTCGCCGAAAAAGAAGTGCCTCGTCGTGCAGCTATCCGTCTAATTTTCGGCAGCCGGGAGGTTTGGCACGGTCACGTGATGCGCCGCGGATATCCATCTTTGTATCCTCTAAGAAAGCTACCTCTTGACGTCGGTTTGTAATCAGCGTTTGACAGCCTTTCTTTTCCTTGTTTTCGTCTTTAAATGGAGAAAACGACACCATGGCATCAATAAACATGCAAAGAATAACGTCGCGGCTCGCCGCGACCGCAGTTTCAAGGCCCTTGCAGGGATGCCAAATCAGAGCAGCGCTTGGATGGGCGTCTCTGCGGCATCTCAGCACCAGCGTGCGCCTACCGGCCATTGCCACCGGATCACGGCCTCAAGCAAGAAAAACACAGCGCTTCGTGCCAGGCGTCTCCGGTCCTGGTAACAGCGTTCGAACAATCTTCATCCAAACTGAAAACACCCCCAACCCGGATGCTCTCAAGTTTTTGCCAAACCACCGCATCGTCCCCGAGGGCATGAGCGTTCCGTTTATAGAGTACCTAAACCCACGATCTACGATTTCTCCGCCGCACCCTTCCCCTCTGGCTGCGAAGCTTATGAACATCGACGGCATTACTTCTGTCTTCTACGGAGCCGACTTTATCACCGTAACCAAGGCCGGAGACGCTAACTGGGCTCATGTTCGACCCGAGATTTTTGCCTTGATAACCGAGGCTATCACTTCCGGCGAGACAATAGTCAATGTCGTGGAGCGCAAGGGAGATGAGAATGGCGAGGCAGCTGTGGAAGAAGACAGCCTGGCTTACAACGAAAACGACAGTGAAGTGGTGGGCATGATTAAAGAGCTGCTGGAGACTAGGATACGACCGGCTATTCAAGAGGACGGTGGCGATATCGAATTCCGTGGCTTCGAAGATGGCCAAGTGCTGCTGAAGTTGCGCGGAGCCTGCCGTACATGCGATTCAAGTACGGTAACACTTAAGAATGGTATCGAGGGCATGCTGATGCATTACGTGAGTCTCGACGATCCCAATTCCTGTTATACGGTTACTGACATTGATTGTTTGTCGCATAGATTGAGGAAGTGCAAGGAGTGACGCAAATCCTAGACGAGGAGGAAGAGGTTTCTCTACAGGAGTTTGCCAAATTCGAAGAGAAGTTGAAGCAGCAGGGGCAGAAGTCAGCCGAGGCGGCATGAAGACTGATTTGTTGCGCTGGATGGTCTGTACGTTAGGAAAGCATGGCATGTAGTATAAGAATAATTTAAAAAAAAAAACTGGATACCCATCACGTATAACTCCGAATTATCTATAGTAAAAATTCTAATCCATGATCTGTTGCGCATTGTAATATGCCCAGCTCATGCATAACATATAGATGTGTATGTGTGTATATATATATATATATAAGGTATATATATTCCCATGGATATCCATATATTGGCTGGCCTGCAATGGTGAGTTGCAGCGAAAAATCAGTATGACGCAGATCGCCCAGAGGCTGAAGTTTCCAAGTACCTGCAGCGTTTGGCACCAAAATGCTAAAAGTCTAGGCGGTTCTTTGGGCTAATGTGCCCCACCTTCCCTTTTAGCTCGCCCATGCTCTGGCAAAAAAATTGGCGAATGCGAATCTTGCAGTTTGTAAACTCAACTTTCCTTCTCTTCGCCGTCACTTTTTTTGCATCCTTAGCACAGCTGCAACCTATCCCACCGTCCTTCCTGTCGCTATCCGTGGACAGGGAAACCGGCTCTGTTGCGGCACAAGTCAATGACTCCGAGGTAGCACCTGCAGCAGCTCTAGAGATAGTGAGAGGATCTCTAGGAGCAAGCAATGTTCGTCGTTAGTCACACTCGCCCTCTGTGCTGGAACAGGCAAACGAAGGGAAGGAAAAAAAAGAAGCTAATTTTGGCGACATCTGCAGACTAAACATGCGGCGGAGCTTTGCGCTCTCCTAGTCAACGATCTATACGGCGAGCTTCCTTCGGTATGTCAAATCAATCTCCATTGGCGCCCGTCTTTGCATGGAGCGCGTATTCGTCCAAGGCATGGCAGCAGCTAGAGGCTGGTGATTGTTGGAGGCTGACCCTTTTGGCGCCCCTGTAGCGAATTCTTGCCGCGCTCTTCGCCAAAGGCCGATCAAACATCGCACAGCTCGGGCTCTATACGCAACTTGGCCCTCGACAGATTCGCAATGGCCTGGGCGTCCTCAACCAGCAGAATCTGCTATACCACCACACAGACACCAATACCAAGCGCACCACCTATGAAGCCAATCCCGGAGCATGCTACAACCTCGTTCGATCTGGCAAGATCTTGGAGATGATCGATAGCCAATACGGGACTGCGGAGCGCGACCTAGTTCAAACCCTGCTGCTGCTGGGCTATGCGAGAATCGCTGAGCTGACTCACGCATACCAGTCCCGCGCACCGACGTCCAATGGTCATGCGAATGGCCATGGTGCGAATGGGTCTAGCTCCGGCTTGATTGAATCCGAAGCTGAGCTTCACAATGTCCTGAGTCACTTGATTCGCTGCGAAATTATCGAGACGGTCCGGCCGCAGTCCTTCCGTAACCCAACCGATGTTTACCACGAGATCGAGGCGGACGTCACCAAGACAGCCCCGGGCGAGAAGGCAACAAAAACAAAAATAGACCAACAAAGGCAGATAATGGAGCAATATCGATCGTTCAGAGACCAGCCGACGGCTCTAAAGAGGCAGCTTGACCAGTTTGGGGGGCCGGTAACGAAGAGAAGAAAGCTCGAGAGTGGATCAGGGGAAGATGACAGAGCGATGGATTATGATATCCCGCCTCTTAATGTGAGCATATTCATTCTCGTCCTCGCAATTCAGTACACGCAGTCTAACAGAAATTTAAGCCAAATGTCGTTGTCAGAGTCAACTACGAAAAATGTCTGGTTGAATTACGCAGCCACCGCCTGGCCAGCTTCGCCATGGACACTCTAGGCGAGGTAACTGGCGAAGTGTATCGCACACTGCTTGGACTCCTCACTTCCGAAGTTTCTAGATGCCGGGCGGATCCTTTCCTGGGGGAAGAGGCGATTACTCACCAAGCTGCTGTCACTACAATGGACGTCTATGAGCACCTAGATGAGGCAGTCAACGTTGCGGCGGGAATAGGAAAAGCCCCAAAGGACAAGATTGACTACCAAAGTGCAGAGAAGATCCTGACGGCGCCTGCTGGAAACGACACATTTGCTGGTGACTCGGATGATGACGCAGCAGGTGGCGCTTTTGATAGCGATGATGATTCTGATGACATGGGCCGACATGGAAGTTTCTCGCGAAAATCTCGATCAGTATCTAAGACAAATGGTGGTAAACCAAAGGTGACGTTTGAAGATGCAGCAACATCTACGGACAATCGTCTAGACCAGATGCGCCAGCATCTCCTGCTATTGTCGGAGAGCAAATATCGCTTCGTGCGCCACTGTGGAACACAGGGTCGGGGGCAATGGACTGTTGATTTTGATCAGGTCATGGAGCGCCTTCGAGATACTGAGCTGGATGCCTCTATCGAACAATCCTTCGGACGGCATGGACTCCGTCTTACTCGTATCCTCCGTGAAAAGGGCAAGCTGGATGAAAAGATGTTGCCATCTGCGGCGTTGATGAAGAAGACAGACGTGCAAGCGAAGATGCTTGCCATGCAGATGGCCGGTTTGGTCGACGTGCAGGAAGTTCCCAAGGACAATACAAGAGTGGCCAACCGGACCCTGTTCTTCTGGTTCTTTGACAGAGATCGAAGCCAGGCACAGATACTAGATGACCTATATAAAGCCATGGTCCGCTGCTTGCAGACGTTGCAGGTAGAGAGACATCGGGAGCGGAACATTTTATCCTTTGTTGAGAGGAAGGACGTTATGGGAAAGGAAGAAGAGGTGATGACGGCAGAGCATTATAACAAGTACAACAGACATTTGGAAGAGCAGAACAAGCTTCTTGGACAGATGATGAGATTGGATGAGGTTGTGTCGATATTCCGAGATTATTAGAAGCAATTGGCCTGTAAAAAAAAAATCTGTAATAATTACGATATGTGCACTAAATTGCGATGAGAAGAGAACTAAATAGTTTCTCTGGCGTTTTGAATCAGGTGTCTAATATTGAGATTGGCTAGGGTGAGATGGATGTTTACTCTAGGGACGGATTTCGGTTTTTGATATCATCGCTGAACGTTTGGTTGTATCAGATGCTAGGACGCTGCTGGCGAACTCGAGGTCACGTAAAGCCGCGGCATTGAAATCGACTCGATTCGCTTCAAGAGACCGAGGTCTTATAACTAGCCCGAACACAGGGAGATTCAATGCTGATCTATCCAAGAGCCGTCAAAGACCGGAATAAACATAGATGTACATAACTCGGGCAATTTCAACAATTCATCTGATTCTTTTCCCTCGAAATTCTCTATTTCCTCTTACAGCTGAGATATTTACTCGATAACGACGTGCAAGCTCGAAACTCTCTAGGGTAGAGCAACTACTACCGCTGCAGCACAGTACTCAAAAAAGCCCCCAAAACAAAGTACACAGGGATTATTTACCCCGCCGCCTCAAAGCATTTCAAGCCCCTCCAAGCCCGCTGAAGGCTCTCGCGTGCCCGCCGAAAATCGGTGGTGGTGAAAAGTTGCTCGGACGGACAAGGTTCCTTATCAGCAGATGACAAGCACGGAAGCGTCATAAGATATCGACGAAAAAAAGTTTCCCACAGCAACGCCATTGCCTGGACTTTTTTTTTCCACCATCTCTTTTCGCGTCTTTACGGGAAGGCTTTGATTTTTTCTTTCTTTCTTTTCATATAATCCCAGTATTATAGATTTTCTTTTTCTTTTTTCTTTTCCCCGCAAATCATTCACAAAATGTCACCAGCAGCAGCGGCAGTTGTGGGACGAGAGAAGGAGTCAAACTTGGCTCGTCTGCTCGGCTCAGGTACGGAATTTTTTTTCTGCCTCTTTGCCGAGGACCAATTTCCATGAGCCGATGCAAAATTGCGGTAGAATGCTAATTGAGGCTATTCAGGTACCGCTGGTATCTCCGAGCTGGCGCTTTTCCACCCTGTACGTCGCCTGGATCAAAGGTCGCAAAAGCCATTGATTGTCCATTGACTGACTTTTTTTTTGCGCCTTTAATAGGTGGATACTATCGCGAAGCGATTGATGAGCAACCACGGCAAAGTAAGAACGCACCTACCACAGGCTCCTTCAATTGAAGAGACAATCGACAGGACGTAATAATCATAATATTAAGAATATGACGCTGAACATGATCGCAGGTTGCTAGCGCAAGCCAACTGAACCAAGTCATCTTCAAGGACAAGGCCTCCGCACCCTTCGCACGAAAGTTCGTCTCGCTGTTCCCAGGTCTGGGCTACGCCGCCGGCTACAAGGTGCTTCAGAGAATATACAAGTATGGCGGACAACCCATTGCGCGCGACTTCCTGGGCAAGCACTACGGAAAGGACTTTGAGGCCGCCTTTGGCAAGAAGACAGGCAAGGCTATCATGCACTCTACTGCCGGCAGGTAAGTTGATTGACGAGAAGACGAAAACTTCCGCTCTGGAAAGCTGAAGCCGGTGTTGACTTGCGATAGTTTGATTGGTATCGGAGAAATCGTCCTGCTGCCCCTCGATGTCCTCAAGATCAAGCGCCAGACCAACCCTGAGGCCTTCCGTGGCCGTGGTGTCCTGAAGATTGTTGCCGACGAGGGTTTCGGCCTGTACCGTGGCTGGGGATGGACTGCTGCTCGAAACGCACCCGGATCTTTCGCTGTAAGCGCGCTTCTCTTGGCCCTATCGCATCAGTATTCCATTGCATTGCAATGAAAGCAAAGCATGCGTAAAGATTCTAAATGGTTTACTAACGAATGGATCTTCATCCAATTAGCTCTTCGGAGGTTCTGCTTTCGCCAAGGAGTATCTCTTCCAGCTTGAGGACTACAACAAGGCCAGCTGGTTCCAGAACTTCGTCGCTTCCATCGCTGGTGCTTCTGCCTCCCTCGTCGTCTCTGCTCCCCTCGATGTTATCAAGACCCGAATCCAGAACCGCAATTTCGACAACCCCGAGAGCGGCTTCAGAATTCTGACCAACATGGCCAGGAACGAGGGCTTCTCGAGTTTCTTCAAGGGACTGGTTCCCAAGGTATGTCGATTACATAATGTGACTGATGTGCTGCATTCGCTTGACCTCGCTTCTGCCATCGCTTACTAGGGTACCATTGTCTCCTGATGGCTCTAGTAGGGGTAGAAGCAGCAGGCAATCGTTCTCTCCACATCCCCTTTATGATATACACGCACTATCGAAAACCTGAAACTGATACAATGCTTTGCAGCTGCTCATGACTGGACCTAAGCTTGTCTTCTCTTTCTGGCTCGCCCAGACTCTGATCCCGGCTTTCGACACCGTCTTCAGCAAATAGAGTTCCAATTACGCGAAACAAAACCAAAATTATGTACCATGTATAAACGATAAATACACTGAAAAAAAAAGACGGAAGTAAAATTCAAGGACAAGAGACTATACAAAATGGGAGAATACTAGATCTGCAGCGTATTTCTTTGGGGAAGGGAGAAAGGGTTTACAGGGCGCCGTTGGGCTTAGGATATCCTCGGCCGGAATGGAGGGCATGTATAGAACGACTCTGCTCTGTGTAGAATTATATAATCAAGCGATATAACAATGAACGGGAAGTGAAGCATCCAGTGATTGGGCATATAGACACTCTGTATAAGAACGCATCAAAAAAAAAGCTCTACCAATCCCCACGCGAATATCTTACCCGGGCCTCTTAGCCGCCCCCGGACGCGATAAAGTAGGTAGCCGTGTGATGTTGACGCGGCGCTCATCACCATGTGCCTTGCACTAAAATGTGATTCGCCGTCTTATCAGGTTAAACTTCAGCCATATCCGCGCAGGTTGCTTGCAGGGCCATCTTTTGTGAGCAATGCTGTCGGCAGATCGTTGCCCGGCAACACACCACTAGCGCAACAAACAAATAACCCCTGTCACTTGGCCGCCTTCTTGATGAGCCCGTTCGCCCACCCAAAGGTGCGTCGAGTCCACCCAAACCACCGCAGCTTTATCACGATCTTTTTATGAACACAAGCTGGATTGCGACCGGAGCTTCTCGTCTTCCAGGACTGGGAGGCAGCGCCAATACAGCAACCGCTCTTGCTTGGTAATTTTTTAGCCTTGATTTTTCCTCTCCTTGCAGCAGGCTGCACCGTGATACATACATAATCCCCAATTGTCTTTTATCGCTTCCGCAGGTGGCGCCTCTCTCGTCTCGTCTCAGCGGAGCCTAGGTAAGCAAGCAGGCGGGCGTCACTCGCATTCTCGCCCACCGCACGCTGCATTCCAGGCGACGTGCAAGGCATGCCCTATTCTGAACGACCGGGCTCTTTCGGCGCTGAGCCTTACCTGAGACATCAACATTCTGCGACCTCCGACCACGGATTCAACCCAATGTGCGTATACTTTCACCGCATCCAACAATGTTGCTTTGGCGTCAACTAACCCGCACCAGGTGGGACAGCGCAGACTCCGAGCGTGCGTCGCTCAATCCTGCGTCTCCAAAGCAGGCAACGCGGAGCGGCACATCGCCGTATCCAGTTTCGAGCGCCATCCAGTCTGCCCATGCTGCGCTTACTGAGCGGGTGAAGGAAAACAGCACCACCCATGTGCCCCCTCCGACCAAGCGCTTCAACGACCCATCGCCTGACCGAACCATCGCCAAAGTCGGCGGGCCGCACCGCAGACTGCAGTCCATGCAAACAGGCTCTGTGCGAGACATCAGTATGATGCTGGAGAACAACTCCAACAATAGCCCCAGCACTTCGCCGATCAAGTCGTATGAAAAGCCAGAAAGGCTACCTAGACCGTCTACGCCGCCGGGCCTCCGAGAGAGCAGCTCTTTTGAAACTCGCATCTACGACAAGGAGATGAATATGTCAGCACCATCGCTGTCGAGCAGCTTGACGCCCATTGTGCGACCTACCGTCCGTCGGCCAGCGCCGCAAAGCATTCTTTCAGAAAACACCCCGCCTCAGTCGTCAACCATGTTAGCTTTGCAAAGTATGCCCAGTGGATCGCCAACCAAGGAGGCCGAGAATCCGCTTTCCAACATCACCAATGGATCGACCAGTAGTGGTAAGGGAGCGACCATGGATACTTTGGCCTCGCAGATCCTTAGCCTGACCAGTATCGCGAGCTCCCTGCAAAAGGAGATGGCAGCACTCAGTCGGCGTAGCAGAGACAATGCTACAGATTTGCTTAGCCTCAAAGAGGCTACCAACACTCGAGACGAAGACATCAGAAAGAGCCTCAGAGATTTGTTAGGCAATATCAACGATCAGTCAGCCAAGATCGCCAGAGACTCATACAATGGCTACTACATCGATAGCAAGGCCCATCCGCAGTCTCCCAACAGTGGGCGGACCTACCAGATGCCCCGAATTCCTTCGCCCAAGAGCTTTGCTGAATCTATTGATCGTGCATCCATGAGCACCCCGTCCCTTGTAGGTGGCGACAATTCAGGTGCAACCTCAATTCTTCTTTTGGAAAAGATCCTGCGTGGTCTGGGCACCAGAGATGGCCAAGAGTCACTCCTCAGCCATCTCCTTGAGCTCTCAGAGAAGCTCTCAGGCATGGCAACTGCTGCCAAAGTAGAGGAGCTTGTGGACTTTGTCCGACTGCAGACTGAGAGCGCTATGGTGCCCGTCGGTCAATCTACTCGAAGATTCAGCTTGGACCATGAGGGTAGCATTTCTCATCATGGCCATAGCAGTGCCATTGCTCCACGCATGCTCAATAACATAGGTGACTCCCGCAGACCAGCTACTTCCCAAGGCATCTTGAACGATGACGTGCTCAATATAATTCGTAATGTCAAAGATAGCGTCGCAGCAAGCGGCGGTCTAACTGCGGAGGTAAAAGCTCTTGTTCGAGAATTACGCGGAGAAGTTTTGGGCATGGGCCGAGAGCTCGGCAAGAGGCTGGAGAATGTCACTAGCAAATCAGGAGGCAACTTCGAGCCATCGTCCTCGACTAGTAAGGATGAAGTTACGCGGGTTATTGACGAGGGCCTTGAGCAGATGAATGAGCAGCTCAGTCAGGTTCTCAGAGAGCACCGCCGCCAATCTCAAGCATCCGCTCCTATGCAAAAACTCACTATTGATTACCAAGAAATATACGCAGCCTTAAGGGCTGCTCTCAAAGACATTGACGCATCCAAAGAGATGCCAGACTTGAACAGAGATGATGTCCTTGAGGCTGTGCGCGAAGCATGGGAGAACTATAAGCCTGAGATTGAAGTGCAGCAAATCGGACTGGAGAGAGACGAAATCCTAGAGTGTCTTAAAGAAGGCCTTGAGAATCAAATGCCTCCTGCAGCCACCAGAGATGAGATTTTGACAGCGGTCGTCGAAGGTTTAAAGCACTACGTGCCTCCTCAGATGGATACTGCAGCCTCTATGTCGAGAGATGAGATCATAGAAGCCGTCCGAGAATGTCTAGAGGAATTCGAGTTCCCGGTGGCTCCGTCGGCGCTTGGGAATGAGCTAACTCGCGAAGATATGCTTCGTGCTGTCAAAGAGGGCCTCAATGATCTAGATCTTGGAAAGAGCAATGCACTTGTGCCGACTCGCAACAACGATGAAATCAGCGCCAAGCTTCATGAGCTGATGGACTTTATGAAGATGGAGTTTAGGGCCGTTTCTGACGAAGCCAAAAACAACGTGGCGGCCCACGGCCGAGACACTGAGCACCTCTTGGACGCTACGAAAGACGGCCTTGAGCATCTCCGTGTAGCCATTGAAAGCTATGTTGACCGTGCCACCGGTGTTGCTGGCCAGGAAGAGTTCCTGGAGGGCCTTTTGAAGTCTATGGAAGATTTCAAGGAAGAAATGTCGGTGCTTGTATCAAAGGCTAATGCAACTTCTCGAGAGCAACTCCAAACCGAATTGGAAGGACTGCGAGATGTTGTCCATTCATCCATGGTTCCGGCCGCTCCTCTAATGCCGCAAGCCCACAACGACGATCTCTTGGACGCTCTCCGGAAAGGACTGAGCAATCTGCGACAAGAAATCCTCCGACCACGGCCAGAGACCAGCGAAATTCTCGATGCTCTTAATGATGGCCTGAATGACATTCGAGCTGGCATCGACAGAATTACGAACAAGCCGGTGGATCTCACCGCCAACGATGAGATTCTCGACGCTCTCAAGGAAGGATTGGATGGCGTACGATCTGACATTGGGACAATTCGAGACTCGAGCAACGACAGGGCAGTTGCCATTCGCACTGTCAACAGCGAGAACAATAACGAGATGGCGATCATCCCTGCTGATATGGCCAAGCATGACGATATCAAGAATCTCGAAATTTTGATTACCCAACTGCGAGCCAAGATTGAAGAGATGGGGTCTCCTGCCGGAGCCACAGCGGCTCCCAAGATTAATATGAGCCATCTCGAGAATATGCTTCACGATGTACAAAGAAGCGTTAATGAACTCAAGTCCCGCGCGCCCGTCATAGTCCAAGCTGCTAAGCCGCGCGAAGGGTCGGAGCAGGACAAAGACCAGTCGGAGACGCCAAAGGAGGGAGAAGAGTACGTTATGAGAAGTATTCCTTCCATCTTCACTAAAAGCGGTGGCAATCCGACAAAGGAAGATGTTGCGGCTATTGAGAATATTCTGCGCAACACCAAGTCTCGCGTAGATCACCTCATTGATGGTGATCAAGCAGTGCGACGAGAGCACATCGATACACTGGAATCGCTCATCTTGGAGTCTCGAGAGGCTATCCGATCAGTCAACCGGCAGCTGGAGGACATCCCCAACTTATTCCACAAAGATGACTTTGCTAAGCTGACTACAATCATTACTGATCTCGGAGAGGGTTTGGAGGCTATTAAAGATCATGCTGAGAGAGAGGCTCTAAGCCCTGAAAAGGTCAGAAAGTCGGATGTCCAGGCTGTTGAGACGGTTGTACGGGATATCAAGACGCTCGTTGACGGGATTGCAGTGGCCGACTTCGCCACCATCACTACTCGAGAGGACCTTGCTAAACTGGAAGAAATGATGAAGGCGACCAAAGAAACTTTCGACAACTATCACGAAACATCGTCCAAGGCGCTAGTCGACCGCAAGTCTGATATTAATACCGTGTATGACCGCATCCAAGAAGTCAAGTCCTTCATTGAAGAATTCCAGGCCGAAATTCGAAATAAACTCATGGATGGCTCTGAAAGCGTCGGCAAGGCACTGCAATCTATAAGCCAGAAAGTCGACAAGAATGAGAGCGTGGGCGGAGACGTCAAAGACATGTTTGAAGTCATGAAGAGCGAATTTGAGATTTCCAAGGAGGCCATTGCTGGATCCAGGATCGAGTCCAATGAGAAGCTCGACGAGGTTACTCAGAATATTCGCACCAAGATTGACGACAAGGTCAATGAGCTCTTGGCCAAGAATGAGGCTCTTCGGGTTATGATGGACGAAAAGTCGCAAGCTGCCGAGGCACGCGAGATCGTCACTGAGTCGGCTTTGTCGGGCACCAAGGCTGTTGCTGATGAACTAAAGCTCCTGATTGATACTCTTGGATCAACCGTCACCGATTCTTTGGAGAAGATGGAAGAGGCTTCCAAGACTGTCTTCACCAAGGTTGAAGAAGTAGCCACTCGCTCAGAAGAAACTCACAGCGAAGGCAAAGCCGATCACCAACAGACGCGCGATCAGCTTCGCGAAGCTGTCGGCAAGGTCGAAGGCAGTGTCAGCGAATATCAACCTCAGATCTTGGAGGCGGTCAAGAGCATCCTTGGTCTCGTTGGTGACCACTTTGAGCACTCCAAAGGCATCCAGGACAAAGTGATGGGAGCGATTCCCACAGAACAGGCTTTCAGGGCCATGATGCCAGAGAAGTACGACGACGCCATTGTCCACCAGAAGCTGGATAAGATTGTGCAGCACAATGATGATGCGGCACGTGCCTTTGTCCAGCTTCAGACACTCGACAAGGTTCACCAGTTGGTTGTGGAGAATGCTGCAGAGCTATCCGAATTCCTTTCCAAGCAGACTAAGCACGCTGTGGAAGAACGCGACAACCGCGCTAAGCTCTTGGAGGAGACCAATATTGCTCTTGAGAGAGCCATCACAGAACGAAAGCATGCTGATGCGTCTGTCAAAGAGCTAAAGGAAGAAGAAGAATGGCTGAAACGCAGCGTCTTGTCTCTACGGAACGAGCAAGAGGGCTTGATGAAGCAAAAGACCCGCCTTACCGGCGATGTCTCTGCCCTCGAGACGGCACTGCGCTTACGCAAGGAAGAGCTCCTCGAGATGGAAGTTCGAGCCGAAGGTTTGGAACGACGAATCTTCAATGGCGTCATGGATCACTCTCGAGTGCTTCTCTTTGGCAAGAAAGCCAAGGGTGGTGCCGACTCTATGAACCGCAAGCGAGTTAAGAAGTCAGGTGGCGACGACGGTACATCATCTCCGCGAGGTATCGCAACGGCTCTCTCCTCGGGAAGAAACCCCATGGCGCCGGGCCAAGTAGGAACTACGCGACGTATTGCGTCTCTCAGTCAGATGACAAACAACGTGGCAGCGAACCCCATCACAAGAAGTCATAGCGTGAAGACTCCGACTGTTAGTGTCAACGGCCATCGCAAGCGCAGCTGGGGTCCCACAGCGCAAAAGAGTGGGTTGAGCGCAGAGGACAAGGAGAACGTCAATGTTGACGAGACGGTGGAAGAGCTCGACGAGGGCGACATGGTCAACGTAACCCATGAATCCGCCGCAGTCGACGACGGAGCGGACGATCGCTCAGAGTACGAGGAGGAGATTGATGAGGACGACGACGCAGAGCGGCACGACGGAAGCGATGGCACGCAGATACGACGGGACAGCAAGGGGTATGAGGACGATTCTGAAAGTGAATACGAGGAGAGCATTGATGGCGACGACGAGCCTCATGCTGCTGTAGTTGTTCGATAAGGGATGAGAGTTGGTATAGTAATGGGAGGATTGAATGGTTTACGATTTTGTCGAATTGGTTCGCCTGGAGGCATTGTTTGTTTTCTTGTTGACTTTTTTTTTCTACTACCCCTTTCTTCTTATTCCCTTCTTGCCTTTTGGCACTACTGCCCCATTCTCTTGACTTGATGTTTTGCGGAGATGGATAGTTATGAGGAGACATGATAGCCGCTGTTTGATACCTGTATGTAGCTTTGAACGATAATTGATAGTCACGTTATATTATAACATACAATTGTTGACCAATTTTTTCCTTTATGATGGGGTATCTTTGACTGTGTGAACCTGAATAATTGTATCATGGAATGGTTGAAGATGGCTTGAATGCCCTTCGGCTTGTATATAAGAGGGAGGGATGATGTGCCGATACGGTTATCAGGCATATGCAATGGTGGGGTCTGGCACTAAATATTGCCCGCTAAAGCAACCGCAGCATGCTTAAGCTTCCTTTACCCATATTAAACTTGTACAACGCATCACGTCAATTGCCACAAACCAAGACACGCGCGTAGCTCGAAATCAGCCTCCATTATAACTGAGCGCCACAAAGAGAGAGAGAGAGAGAGAGAGAGAGAGAGAGAGAGACGCGGCCATTCTATCTTGCAAAGATGGACCAGCCACACGGCGGTGGCCTCATCTCGCCGCCAGAGCTGTCTCCCATGGAGCAGGAAATCCTGGAAGAGTACGAGCGCCTAGCGACGAACATGAAGACTGTACGTGCTGCTATTGCGACAACTCCAAAAAAAAAAAAAAAAAAAAAAAAAAAATTTTTTTGCTGACGAGATGTTTTTTTTGAAACAAAATAAATAGCTGGCAACTCTGTTGGATACTTTGGCGTCGAATCCTACTGTCGGGATATTGGATGGGCTGCGGGAGCTGGAGCGGAAGACGAGCTTGGCGTTTACGCTGCTGAAGGCGAGTGTGTATAGCATTGTGCTGCAGCAGGAGATTGATTGGGGGGCTGGTGCTGGAGGAGGAAGTGGTGAAGGTGGTGAAGGAGGTGGAAATGATGAGGGTGAGGAGGAGAAGGGGGAGGATGGGGGGGAAGATGATGACATGGAGGAGTAGTTGTGTGTGAGTGTGTGTGTGATGGCGATGGATTGGCGATGACGATTTAATGATACCCGATACGATGAGGTGAGATGAGATGAGATGCTGATCTAGGTGGAGAGCGATATGTTGCGTTTGCTTGTTCATGTCATGGGGCCTTTGGTGTTTAGCCACGGGCTCTAATTTTCTTGCGTTGCTTTCTTCTTGTCAAAGTTGTATATTTCATTTCCCAGCGTGATAATAATAATAATACTTGTACACTTGAGTAGTGTGCCTCAACAGCATCACCACTCGCATTTTATTTTTTTTAACCCTCATCCCCATCTCTCTAAATTTTTTTTTTTTTTTTTTTAAAAAAAATCCCTCCCTTTCCCTTCTAATATACATTTCCTCCATAGTACACCTTTCGCACATCCACCATCTTCTTTCCTCGTCCGATGGCAATCGCCTCAGGGTCAACCTGGTTCATCAGGGCGTTGTAGGCGGCTTTGACGGAGTTCATGGGGTTCTTGGACCGGGGCATGCTGGCCGCGATGTCGTGGATGCCGGCGGCACGGCACATTTCGAAGATGCGGTGGGGGCAGCGGAGACCAAAGCCTTTTGGTAATGTGTCAGTATACATATATATATATATATACAAAGCTCCTCTAACAACACGAAACTCAAAAGGAAAAAAAAAGGGGGGGAAGAAAGGGTTTATTCATACCTGGGGGGCGGGAAAACAGCTCAACAACCGTGCCCGAAACCTTGGACGTGGACTTTCCGTAAATCGTACGGTTCTCGTACCGTCTGATGGGCTTCATGTTCCGAATGGCCAGCAGCTGCGCCGTCTCGGCAGCAAGACCAGCCTCTGTAGACTTGGCAATGCCCAGGCCCAGGCGGCCGTTGCCGTTGCCCGCAATAGCGACGACAGATGTGCTGCGGACCTTGCCCAGACGGGTCTGGTTGGAAACCCAGCGCGTGACGAGCACCTTGCGGTAGATGGACTGGATGTCCCGCAGAGACATGCCCGTCAGCCGCTTAATCTCCTGGTAGCGGCCGTCGTCGTCCATGCCCTCGTCCTCCGGGTCGGCGGCGGACTTGTACAGGCCCTCGACGCCGGGGACCTTGCCCAGCTCGGGCGCCTCGGCCGAGTGCAGCCTGCTGGAGCCAGCGGGGCCATCCTCGATGAGTTCCAGGTTCGAGGGCTCGATCTCGCCCGAGTCGAGGCCGTCGCTGATCTTGCTGAGCTCCTTCTTCCACTCCTCGTTAATGGCCTGGTCGAGCTTCATGACTTGTTCTTGTGTAATGGTGGCGGCTTCGGCGTCTGCCCTTTTATCCTCGCCGTCCTCCTCAATCAGGTATTTCTTGAGCAGTTCGGGGTCCTTCTCCAGGTCTACCAGCTCTTCGTCTGTCAGATCTATCAGTTCCGCGCCGTTGCTCTCCTTGACTCGCCGCAGCGCGCGGACCATGGCTTTTGTAAGCTGCTCGCTCGTCTTCTTGTCTGTCAAGTCGGCCAGCTTCGACCCGTACTTGTCGGCCCAGTCGCTGGGGTTCAGCCACTGCGGCTCCCAGGGCGTGCCCTCAATCTCCGGCTTGACGTCGTACCGCGGGTCCAGCGTGGTGTAGTCCTCGATATACTGCGGCCTGTAGGGGTCATCTCGTAGCCGGCCCTGGAAGATCAAGTCGTCCGGGTTGATTGCCTCCTCGGCGGCCTTGAGGGCCTCGAGTTGCTCGGGCGTGTACTTGCTCTTGAGGATCTCGAGCTCCTCCTTGGTGTACTCGGGAAACTTCTCCTGGCGGTACTTGGCGAGCCGCTCCGGGTTCAGCAGACCCATCTCCTCGGCCTTGACATTGCGGAAGCGTGATCGCCGCTTCGAGGCGCGGGGTATCGAGGTGTGAAGCTGGTGCTGGCAGCTGGGGACGACGGCGGCGATGGTTTGCGCCGTGCGGGCAGAGGCGACGCACTTGCCCAGGAGGCTGCGCGCCGGGCGGGCGACGCTCATGGCCAGACGAGGCTCCGGATTGAGAGGCGCAGCGCAGTCAATTCCCTCTCGGGGGCGGTCGTGGGGGAGGTTTTGGCGAGAGGACGCTGCAAACCGAGTTCAGATCGTCTCACTCGCTCGACCCTTGAGATTTTTCTGCCATTTGCCCAATTGAGGAAACCGCGCCAAAAAGTGGCTGATGGGTGATGAATCAGCAGTCTGTGGCTTGCCCATGTTCAAGCCACACGGCGTTGAATATCTGCAGCCACAGCGCATCACGGGACAGCGCACGTGCGTTTTATTGCTCCAAGAATTCGCTACTTCGCGCCTACTATGCACGGCGCTTTACTATAGCGGATCCCAAGTCCCCTAAAATGGGCCATCCAGGTACAGAAAGCAGCAGTTTGCTCCAATATGCGACGACAAGTTTATACTACATGTAGGTAGTATTACTTCATATCACCGCCTGTCTCATTCTCATTCTCAAATCGTACGTTTTTTTTCACAGCCATAGAACGAACAAAGCGGCCTCTAGTAAGGCAGCCAGTCATAATCCCACAATCCCCAGTCCCCGTCACATCACCCAGCCCACGCCCTGGCCTGATACAATAACTCGACCCCCGTAGCCGCATCGTGAAACGTCTCAGGAGGCCCTGGCCGTCCCCCCCGTCTGGTTTCGAAAGCGTCACTTCCCCCAAATTCCTTCTCAGCTACGGCCGTTTTTATTCTTCTTCTGTTTTTTTTTACTCATTTCCCTTTTCCTTTTTGTTTATACCGCTCGTAATAAGTCATCCGTTTGTGTTTTGCTTTTCCTTTCTTGCTCCAAAATCATAATTAGAGGTTTCCAACGTGACTGGCTCACACTGGACCCATCTTCGTTCTCTGCCAATTACTACCACCTTTAATCCAAACACCAACTTAATCCTGCTGTTCATCTTCTCATAAAAACACATAAAAATGGGCCAATTCGACTGGTTCAAGAAAATCGGCGCAACCGACGAGGCCGTCGCCGTCCTCAACGACCAGCCCTACCTCTTCACCGTCCTCCTCGTCGTCATTGTCACCCTCCTGGTGCAGGGCGGCGTGCTCTACCTCATCCACTGGGCCACCTTCAAGGATTCCCAGAGAAAACAACCCAAGAAGGGAGGCAAATCCGGCGGCGGCGGCCTAATCGGCAAACTCACGGGGGGCGGAAACAGCGACAACGGCCGCCGCGCCGCTGGTGGCAGCTAGACGCCAGAATAGGGACAGCAAAGGACGAAACAAATTCATATTTCACCAGTCTTACGCCACCATATTACATCAGTTGATCTGGTCTATCTGTCGTGTGACTACCGATTTTTAAAAAAGAGATACCAAGCAGGTTGCGTTGAAGTGGATGACCGCAATTAAATAAGGGACATGCCTGTTAGAGTCCTGAGAAGAGAAGAGGAGCAAGGAGGACGCTTTCATCATTCAAGTTGATATTATATCCGGAGCGTTATAGCAAAGCACTAGTTTACTCATATGACTTATAAAAACTAACATCTTCACCATCATATCCAGACGAGATGATCGTTTCGCATGACGCTCCTGTATCGTTATATCCAGTAGTAAATTCCCCTGAACATAACCATTCATTGAAAGTTGTAAGAGACTGTACGTCTAGCGAAGAAAGCCCATCATTCGTCGTGTAATACGGCGAGATAGTATCCGCAGTGATAGAAGAATCCAGTTCACACATAGACCTCATTTCGGGGCCATGCAGAGTGTAGTCTGCACCAGATTCGAGATGGCCGCCATGAGATCCTGACATCAACATGGGGTCATTCATCTCCATCTCTAACAAGCTATAGTGCTGCGATCTGTTGAATGTAGGACTTCTCTGCTGGAGTTGGTCGAATAAAGGCTCACTTATTTCGCAGCTGTCCATGCGAGGGCATTCTTCTATCGGTACCTGGACTCCTGTTCTTGACGTTGCTCTCTCAACTTCACGGCTTGCTTGAGGTGACCGGGCTGGTATCTTGATCGATGATAGCAAGACGTCCCATGTGCCCTTTTCAATTCCTCTTATGACACAATCTCCATGGTCGTAACTTTCGCCAATCACTCGAGCTGCGAATATGGCAGTCTTATATCGAAGGCTTGGCGATTCAGCGTTTTTCATTCGAGCCAACGAGGTAGCTATAGTAGGTAATAGGGAGGCTCGATGAGAAATGGTCTGCAATACTATCAGCTCAAAGCTGCGAAGCATGACCATCCTAGCCAGTTGTATTTACCTTGAGATACAGCATGCTAAACACAGCGGGTGCCAGATGTGCCAAACATTCAGCTGGCGTGTATGTACTGGTAATAATGCCCTTGTACTGCTTTCGTGATCCGAGCACGATTAACTCTAGTGCGATATCCAACATCTGCTTCAGCTGCTTTATGAGTTCAGTTCTTGAGGTCTTGCCGCTGTGAGATATCTTTTGGGCCTCTCTGTGAGTGTTTGGTGGGAGATATTCCAAAATCCTCGGGCCATCAGGAAACATGCCACTCGTATCTTCCGTAGTTTTCGTTCTTTTTCTTTTTAATGATTGCTTTGCCGGAGAAACCTCAATATAGCAAGTCACGGACTGGAAATTTGCCGTGGAGGCATCTTTCGGAGTCACCAAAGCGGACGACAAGTCTGGATGCTGTATAGAGAATGACATTCTACCCAAGGGCTCATCTATGCCTCTTTCGTGACCTTGCAATCGAATTCCTGCTTTGCTCCAAACCTAGCCCATTAAGTTAATCAAAAGGATCAAGCACAGTATTTATAATCTGGTTCAAAGCATACTTCACAATATTGTATCCATTCTGTAAGCTCGGCAATTTGATCTATCGCCGTTATACATTCGCCTTGGATAGAAACAGTAACATGGAAATAACAAGATCTAGTCCGTGCAATCCATAAATGCTCCTCTGTTACCATCTTCAACAGTTCGGTGCTTGACTGTGGCAGTTTCGCTCCGTCTGGGAACTGCAGCTGTAGTGAGCCTTCAAGCGAAAGATCCAAATGCTGCGCATTGTCGGAGAGATGAAGCTTTGGCAGATCGACACTGGCGAGCTGCATAGTGCCTCGGCCACTGTAACGTCAGAGGCGCAAAAGATGTGCTGGTGTCGGCAGCTGGAAAGCTACGCTGGATTATGGCGGTATAGATAAGGAGGATGGACGATGTTACTCTCTATACTTGAGATCGTAGCATGAAAACGCTGACAATTTTCTCACCTTGTTCAGACTCGCATCTACAAAGAAGAGTTTCGTAATTATTGAAGTCATATTCGCCATCAGAGGTTTGATCCAAGGGAAGTTGCCTCCCGTAGAACACTCGGAAGGAGGGTATTAATTCACCGCCTTCCTCACACATTACTAAGATAGGGTTATATATATAAGTACCGTAAACAGCCGCAGTGATGCCATCTGATATTGTCTTTGAACGGAAAAAGGAAAGAGAAACAGGCCTATACAGAAACGAAAAGGAAAGAAAAAAAGCAAAAAAAATTCTTGAGTCTATGTTTTGCTGTAATCCTTCCTTCGCCCAGCCTGCAGAAAATATTGTCGCTACCCAAAATCGTTCCCAAAATAAAAAATAAAAAAAAGTGTGAATCAACCAAGTCTTTTTATGTGTCCTTTGCTACAACCAAAAAAGAAAAACTCCTCGCCTTAGCGATTATTTAAGCCATGGAAATATCTTCTTGGTTGGCTCCAAGGGTCCTCCTGACGAGGAGCCCTCTAAAGCAAGACTTCGTTGATAAATCTCCTACAAGTATGGTTGTCAGCACGCGTTATAAGAGAAGGGAATTACATGGCCAGGTAGATGTGTGTTTAATCTTACCTCTTCATCCGTTGCCATATGGCAGCTCAATATTAGCTCACGAACATTGTCGTTTTTGGAAAGGTTAGGATACGGGGTGCCTTGGCTCTTCATGAGAGGCAAAAGCACCTCTCCAAGGACCTCGAATTTCTTCCAATTAATCCGATCGCCGTTGGGCCCAACAAGTGTTTTGCTGCCTTCCTCGGCAGACACCAGATCACGGCGGTGCAGGGGAATGAAAGGAATTCTAGGCAAAGGAGAGTTCTCCCAGGCCAGTCGATAGGCAAAATGACTCTTTTGAGTACCCATTAAAATGAGCAATCTCGCAAACTTCTTGTGAGTCTCTGGCGAAACCAGAGCCTTTGTTTGAGCGAGGCGGTGGATTGCCGTTCCATTTAGTCCTGCCAAGACAGCCGCCAAACCGTTGTAGTTGTTGAGCTGTCGAAGCTTAAGGGCAATATTCATAAATTTCTCGAGAACAACTGCTCGGTGTTTTGCCTTATCTCGTAGGAGAATCATGTTTGCGACCCACTTGGCAACATGGTTGAAGTGGTTGATCATGCGATTTATGTTATTCAAACTCTTGCAGCTCTCCTTTTGGCTGGCCGGCAGACTGACGTGGCGCACAAAGTCGCGAATTCGAATGGAAGAAAACATGATCCAGTCGATCCGAGTGAGCTCATCTGCAATATCGTCGTCTTTAATTTCGACAAAGATGCGATAGCGGAACTTATTCATGGGTAATTGAGCTGTGGGGTCCAAGGTACTAGCTTCTCTCTCATAGTCTTCATATGAGTAGAGCTGTATTTGGCCGCCACTGCCAACCACTCTGTTGAGGTTTTCCGAGCTCACAGAAGGCCGCTCGAAATTGCTGTCTTCCTCAAACTGTAAGGCAGTCAGCCCTGCCGGTAGCTCACTCAATTCTTTAGAAAGAATATCGCTGACCAGCTGGTCATTGGCATCGTCGGCATTAGCCCAGCCTGTATCATCGTCCTCTATGACGTGGAGGGTAAGGTTCCGATGCATTTGCCTAGCAGCGATGCAGAAAATTGGCTCAGTGGAAAGATATCTGATAAACTCGTCAAGGTTTCGTCGCGTGGTTAGGCGAGCAAAGTCGCCAGGATACAGCGACACCCATTTGGCCATGGTCTCAATGATTCTAAGCTGAGTGGCTGTCTTGGTTAGGTGATGCGCCGTCTTGTCATCCCTTACGCGATCCAGTCGCATCAAAATTGCAGAAAAGAGCTTTCCAGGGGCAGCAAACTTTCGATATAGGCAGAGAAACACATCAGTAAAGTTGGCATCTGCCCTGGAAAGGCGTAACGCTAGCAGCCGATCTACGAGATCGTCGAACGACAGACCCGTCATCTTCTTCTGCTGTTTGTCTATAACAACATCGTCGCTGCGTTGCAAGATGGGGATATCGTCGGAATATCGACGGGAATCAGTGTCGGACTCTTCAACATCAAGGAAGGCATCGCTTCCTCGGGCATCTAAGGGGGGCAATGTCAGCTTTGGACCCACAACAACTGCCATTGAAGCTCAAGGATGTTGACGTCGCGGTAAGCTTTCCGGGATCCGTAATTCATAACTATTTTAGGGGGGGGGGAACCTATAATGAGCAATACTAACCTCGGTGTGGACTTCTGGACGCTGGCTTCTGCATATGGCCATCGGCAATGGGAGTGCCGGAACCTGGAGGCTGGAAGCCGCGAAGCAGCGAAAAATCCGAGCTCGCACGGTTATGTCTCCCTTCGCTGACTGGCCGGCTGCTGACATCAGGGGCATCGAGGTTCGCGGCCGACTGTGCCCTCTTGCGAGCAGCACCTATCTCACCAATCTCTTCTAATAAACTTGTCAGCACGAGCGAGTCTCGCATGCATCAATAGGGTGGCATCGCGTTTCATACGTGGTGACATGCCCCTTCTATGGGCCACGGCAGCCCGGAGAATGGCATGCAGACAGCTTCGATCGATTTCGGGGCTGGCAGAAGAGATTTTGAAGTGGGCCAAACAAGATTTGAAGAGCGTGTGGTTCGCCAATTCATCTGCATTGACCTGTTGTTCTTCTTCAGGAGCTTCGCATTTGCTGGCGACCAACACGGCGGGCATATTCGAATTCATCAAAGCAGCTACAGGGATCACCAATTAGCCTCAGTTTATTGCAGCGGTGCGCCAGTCGCATTCATCGACACGTCGATGACGCGGTAACAGGGGGTTGCTCATCCAACCTACCCAGCGTCTGAGGAAGTTCGCGGATGGTTTCTCTATTTGTAACATCGTAAAGCACCAAGGCGGCGTCGACTCGGGGCACGATGTGGCCGTTGATCTGTTTCGGCCACTGGATGGGATGTGGTGTATTCAACTCGAAGGAATCCAGATCTAGCTCGAGGAGCGTTATCATGTAAGACGTCGAATCAAGGACGATGCGAACGCTGGACGCGGTAGATATCGGCGGGCGCGACAAGCCCAGGATTCGTTGCACAAAGGTCGACTTGCCGACGCCCATGGCGCCAATGATGGCGATGTTGTAGCTCTCCATGGCGGAGGTTTGCTGTGACTGGAAGATGCGGTAACGGTCAGCATGAGAGCGGTCTCAAAACAGAATGTCTCAGCAATGCAACCAAGATGAAGAGAGGTGAACCCCTGGCTGGCAGCCCCGCGACAAAGGTCTAAGCAGGGGTTGATGAATGAATAATTGGGTGGGGACGGAGTGGTAGGATGCGAAATATGTACGAGCAAGGTTAGATGATCAGCGCTGGCTGAGAATTGGTCTGTCTGTATGCGCTGCAGCAGCAGAAGGTGCGCATCATGACATTCCAACTGCGTTGAAGCAGCACCTTTTCTCTTGCTCATGCTCGAGCTTAATTGTGGAATTGTTAAGGTAAAGGGCTAGTTTCGCTTTTTCTCATTTCGTTTTCTTTGCATCTTCTTCTTCCTGGTCTTCCTCTTCTTCCTCTTGATATCTCATCTCTTGCGCAGAAACCAGAAACGTACCCAAAATGGTGAGGATCCAATTGTCAACGACTCTCGACGGGGGGGTGGCCAGTGTAGCTTCTGTTGCCCCTCGTGATCATATCTGTTGCTGCGAGGAGTCTCGGGAGAGAAGAAGGGAATCTCGGTCAATGTCTCTGATTCGGACTCGAGATATTTGTACGTGTCGGCGGTGGGAGCGGTAGGGGTGTTTGGGCTGTCTAAGCTCTGGAAGAAGGGATCGTCGACAATCGAGATGAAGGAATCACGGTTAGAGCTAGGTAGCGGGGGGTTGGTCGCAAAGGCGGCAGTTGAGCTTGTGCGCGAGGGAAAGCTTTGATCAGTAGATGTCGCCGAGGTCCTCGACCAAGAGCTGCTGCTACTGAGGGCCGCAGACGGTCGTCGATCTGCCGCCGCAGCACTTGGAGTCTCGGAGCCGGTGTGCAGATGTTGGGACCCGGAGGAGCTGCGGTCTGTGGCCGTGTAAGCGAAGGGCTGCTGAGATGCACTGGGTGGCACCATTGTCGCAGTCTAGAGACGCGACCACAGCGCGGATACGGACATGAGCTGTGAAGGACAAAAGGCAGAGATGATTGAATCTGTGATAGTGATGGAAGGGGTAGGACGAAAGCAGGGAGAGGCAGAGGGAGGTGAAGGGGAAAAAAAGTCGGAGCTAAAAAGGTTGTCACAGATATGGGAATGGTCCGATATCTGGAGGTGAGGAGACGGATAAGGGATTATTGAAGATGGATGCGAATCGATCCATGCCATTGGGGGCCACTAGTGAATTGACAGAGCAGAGCTAAAGGCACCACTTACCAAGCCCACACCGGGTAGCCCACGAGGATCGAAGCGGAATGGAGAACGCGATGGCCAGGCCCGGGGAAATTCAAGCCTGTGCGAAGAGAGAGGGAAAACGTGGCCAAGCAGCGACGGATGGGATCTGGCGGTGGTGGATGCTAGTTGATGGTGGTGGTGGTCGCAGTGGTGGTGGTGGTGGTGGTACAAGGACGAGCGAGCGCCAGGTACTGCTACCTCGGCGGCGCGGGTGCGACGCATGTACCTCTTGTAGGCGGGCGGCAGAGCTGGCAAAGGACGCGCAGTACCCGGTACAGCACGCCGTGGGTGTCTGGTCGATGCGATGAGCGAGCACGGCTTTCACACGCAGCACACGCAAGCGGGTGTGCCGCACCAGCCTGAGCCTGAGCCCGAAGCTCTGTTGAGGCCCGCTAGCGGACGGCGCAGTACCGCTAGCAGTGCTTAGCTCTATCGGCGCCAAATGGGGCCAGGGCTTCCTGTCTAGTGCATAAATCGACGTCCATGCCGGCATCTGCGCGCCGTCTGGTCCTATCGCTGCCATAGGCTCCTGTGCCTCAGCTATACTACTCCCCCATCTGCTGGGCAGCCAGTGCTACCTACCACCGTTAAGGATTCATGGGATCTCGGCAGAAATCATGCAGCATCTGCCTCGGTAGCAGCGGAGAGGATGGACGCATAACAGCAGAAACACAGCAATCCAAAAGAGGGGCTCCCCGGATGGTGGCCAAGAAACTAAGTTCTGACCTCTTGCTCTCGAGGCGTCTGGGGTCCCTTAGCTAGGTAGTAGGCAGTATATACAGGCAGTAGGCGCGGTACTGCTAGTATGTACTACTGCAGCATATTACAGGACTGCACCTGGAAATCAAATGGCCAGACCCAAAGAGGGCAGCATTGCAGATGCTGCTACACCCGAAAGACGACGCCTCGCACTCCAATTGAGACTTGATATTTGATACTAGTAGTAGTACTAGTAGTAGTAGCAAAGAGTTCGTGGCACAATGCTACTACCTAGGCATGCAAGCATTCGGGTTATTCCCGAACAACCCGATACGTACGAGGGGCCGAATCAGAAACGCATGTGGTTTGTACGAAGTCTGCATTAGCTAGAAAGCACCATAAACTACCTACGGGCCAATGGCCTAAACTGGTGCATTTATTTTGCAGTTCATTGCATGAATGCGTGTACCTACCTACTAAGGCATGCATTGTTCCAATTGTAGGACAGGCACAAGGCAAAGTAGCAGTACCTACTTGCCCGAGCATATGCGTGACAGTGGAGGTTCGCCGAACTGGCAAATAGGGCCTTTTTGCCCACTGCCTTTGCCGCGTTTTGTTTCCTTGGCACGCGTGAATCTATGGCGATGGGCTTTTGTCGTACGTTAGCACGACATTCAATAGCACCGCTTTGGTAAAACAAGGGCAATACGGGGTAGTAGTGTCTGGAGTGGCATCGGATTGACGTTGTTGAGATGCTACGCAAACTTAGCAGGTGCCTATTTATAGGTGGCAGTGTAGTATCAGTTCGACTGCCATGAGAATCGCCAAACACCATCGAGTATCCAAGAGGCACTCAATACATACATGTAGGTAGTAGGTACTATGTGTCCTCGATAGAACGCAGCCCATTCGCACTAACAACAAACAACATCCACAACTGGACACCGATAGATCGGTGGATCACAAAAATACAATGCATTTCAAATCTGCTTCCACTACTCCATAGATACGGAAACCCCAAGTTGGCTTTACCCATCACCTTTCCCCCCCGCCTAGACTGCGTCTAGGCCCCCCCTTGCTGCTCCTCGTCTGACCCCTTCAGACACCAGACGCCACGCAAAAGCGCATTGGCGATAGCTGCCACCACACATGGGCGCCATCCCAGGCTGCCCTTTAAGACTGCCCAATGGCAGGCCACCGCAATGGCTGGCTTGCATGCAACGGCTCAGATTTACGGCGACTTTTTTCTTGTCTTTCTCTTTTTCCTTTGTTAGGAAATTCGCTCACTTGGCGATATTTCCGCATGGGGAGGAGGACCTGCATCCTGCCGGCAGTAAAGCTTTTTTTCATCCCACCCAATTGCGCCTCGCCGTTTCGTCTCGTGTTTTGGCTCCAGGCTCGCTCCAAGAAAGGGAACGGGTTTATTAACTTTTTCATATTTTTTTTCTCTCTTGTTTCTACTATCTTCTATTTTTCCTCTTAGGCTTCCTCTTAGGCTATACAGAGTCTCAGTAGGGGCCACTATTTTCTACCAATCCCAATACTCTGCCTCCAGACATGTCAGATTCTTCTGGCTACCCAGCACGCCGGACCTACCTCCGTCCTTTCCCCGTCATATCGGACGTCCAAACGCGGCAAGGTCGTGATCAAGGACCCTCAAGACGCCCCTCAAGCCACGCCTTGCTAGGTCGCCAGCACGTGGGATTCTAGGGCCCATCAATCAATCCGCAACGAACCGTGGGAACACGGCTCCTAGCCATTGGCTCCACGCCAACGGGAGCACCGCTATAGGCCAGAAAGGAGATCCACAGCCGCCTCATGGGTATCACATCACATAATGCGCAAAAGCACCCAAAAACAAGAATGAAGAGAAGCCTCCTGGTAGTAATGGCTCTATGCTCGACAACTTGACCCCTCTCCGCATGGTTCTGGTTGCATATACTACTACTAGGTAGTACTAGGTACCTACATGTTTGAATACCCCCGCGGCAAGTTGTCAAACCTCTCTTTTCAAAGGCAGTCTTAACGCAGCATTGGCCTCACGGCGATATGCGTACAACTGTAAGTATTCGGATTTTACTACCGTAGTACTCACGAGATCACTTTGGCGGCGCTCAAGTTGGGATCGGCGGAGGATATTCTATTTGCTGACCACGCGAGAAGAGCGAGAGAAGTTGCCACCAAACTCGGTGCCGGGTCTGCCACTTCGGCCCCGTCTTGGACTAAGGCAAGCCGCTTTTAGGCCCAGACATGTTATTCATCTGCCGTTTCGGAAACCTTTTATGGCTCGAATGTGACTCTACTGGGTACGTATGAAGCACAGGGCAACCCCAAATACTACTTTTAGTTCCTTAAAAGGGAAGTGCTTGTAATGCAAAGACACCTCGTGTCCAAAAGGAAGCTCTACCCGGTAGTTACATACGGCAATGCCTGCAATTGCTCTTCCGAGCCAAGACATCCACGCAAGCTTGTATGGGGTACCTAGGTATGATACTCAAGCAGGTAACTGACAGCACGGCTATGTAGACAAGCAGCTTCACTCGTGATGTTATTTAAACCCTGGCGCGGATTGCGAACCTCTACATGGATGTCGAGCATCGTCTTCTTAAATTGGCCTTCTCTTATTTACCAGCCCTGTCCCGTCAATACGAGAACTCGCGTGCTGGGCGCTCTTTTCAGCGCGATCATCCAAATCAAGATGTGATATAAATATGAAACAGAACAACTTTAGACCACCAAATTTTACCATGCTGGAAACGGCAGTGCTGAGGATTGCCTAGTGTCTGATCATACTTGCAAAGGCAATCTACCAGGGGCCCTTACAATCTTCATCTCAAACACGCACTCCTGATGCCCGCTGTGCCACAAGTCGTACTACATACCAACAGTACTAGACAAACTCACGGCTCATGAGATAAAGCTCAACTTTAAATTGCCGAGAGGCCGCTTTCATTTCGCCTTGGCCGATTATCTTATGACGTCAAGGCACCCATGACGCTGGTGGACTGATATCCATAAATTTTAACGGGTTTTAGGGGGGATGGCCAGATGCGGGAATCTTGAACGTTTACTTACACGAATCTGGACTGATTTCTAGATTTTTTTTTTCCATGGGCACATGATATCATAGATAACAACTGAATGCATAAGGCCAGTCTTATTGGAACAGGTTTCTCCCCGTCGAAATGATTGCGGTGAATCTGCAGCAGGACTCTGGGTCTATATTGAGATATTCTAGTGTACATGGCGAATCTGGCAAATCGACTCAGCACAGGCGCGCAATCTGATGAGGCAAAAAGGTACCACTAGTGCTAGTAGCACTTTCTATCAGCATCTCAAAACCATTGGAACCCGATCGGATGTGCCGGTTAAGGGCTTGTTGATACGCGGTTCGGCGAAGCTCTGGCGCCAATGGATCTCGCATCGCCATGCCGCGCAGATCCACCTGGCATTAGTGGATATTTGGGACTTCACTTTGTACTTTACGGCAATGGCAATTTACAGCGATTGAATCGATGAGAGCCAGTTCTGTAACCACTACCTATATAGATACCAATATTAGGAAATATTAAGTAGTATTTTAGATGCATGTAGTAGCTGAGAAGAATTTGTAAATTAAAAGTGTCTTACAAAGCACCTGCCAGGCTCGTTGAGACTATTACAAAGAGAGTAACGAGGGAGATAGGTAAATTTTAAGGAAATTGAAGGCTAGTGTAGTTGGATGCTGCCATACTGATTATCCTCATTGGCTGGGACGCTGATACCGTTCTCCCCCATATCTGTTATCATAAAACTTGAGGAAGTTGCGTCCCGAGCAATGGCAGTGGACCGCCGGATACTTATTGTGTACCTTATAGCTTGGAATTTGGAATTTCTCTACAGCAGCTGAAACAAGCTGAGCTGAATTGAGGCCATCAACACGCTGCCGAGCAGCTGAAACCCAAATTTTCTCTCATATATCATCTCAGCACCATCCTAGCAAACAGCTCTCTTCAGTCGTCTATATGTGGCGGCCTATTTTCGACCCGAGCCGCGGGCGTGGCGCGCTGCCGCACAACTTCCTCTCTCAAGAGCCGCAGAAATACGCCACTTCATCAAAAGGGGGCTCAGGGAGACGAAGTCAGGCACCTGCTCATATCTTCGGTTGTAATCGCACCACAAGACGTGTATATGGAGATGTCTCAGCTAACGAACAAGCAGACACAGTTTGACAGCAATGTCTGGTGGCTGCACAGTGGAACCGAGCGGTGACATCGCTCACTGCGGCCGCTTCACCTTACCCCATTGCAATTTCTCCACCTCCCGTGTATGCCTTCAATGCTACCTGAACGTCTGTTGGGAGCATATGATTGGCGTCTCTCGAATTACGGCACAGCTCGTTGGGCTTTGTTGTTGCTTGGCTCGGGCGTTTACCACTTTTATTCATCCAAGCTGGCTGGCTTGGCTCGGATCCTTGCTTGGCGAAACCCCTCTGGCCAACGAGAGCTCAATGGTCGAGTCCTACACCAGAATAGTTTGCAACTCGTCTCTATGCTATCTTGGAGACTTGGCGCGATAGGTGGCCTTGGTTAGATGGGATGGATGGTGTTTCCCTAGTACTGTAGAGGCTAGATCTACAAAACAATGGCTTAGCTGGCTTTGATCCTAAGCTTGGTTGGCGCGGCAGTCAACCCGCAACCGATTGGAAGGTAAAGTTTTGCGCTCATCCGCAATAAATTAGTCTAACAGACAGTAGTGGAGTAGGCAGAGGGCGGCATACTGGGGTAAAGCAACGAGGGCCCTGGAATGCCGATCCGTTTTCATGACACAAAACGGTGCTATCCGCCGATTAATGGATGGCCATCTGAGCGTCGTATTGCATCTGCTCGTATCTTTGGCATTTTCTTTTGGCTTGTTCGCTTAATCTTGACCGCGTTTTGTTAGGTCAGAGAACGACGCCGTTTTGGTAGAGGCGCCTTGTCCGCCCTGTGACCGACGTTCGCTGCCATATGGCCGAACGATCAACGGGCGGCGGCAGCCATTCGACACCCACCTCACAAGACCACAAAGACGCAACTTAAGAATAAGCAAATGTTTGGCGTTTCCAGGGCACAGGCTGGATTAGCCCCTGCACCGTCAAGTGACCGCAAGCCACCTCCGCAAATTCGCTCGTCTAGCCGAGCTCTGTATGGCCCGCGCCAGGCCGTTATGCCCCATTCTCCCTGCAATGATTCTCTTGGGCCAATGGATGTCGGCGATGGCGCTGCAGGCAGGGGTATGAGCGAGGTTTTAGGTCCCCTTGACTGGCGAGCTAGAGGTGGGAAGCCAGACGGGACGATGACAACAGCTCGCATTGCTAACGCCGGGGCGAGACGTGAGTCGACGCAGGTGCCCAGTGGAAAGCCACCAACCATGCATATGGCTCTTTTGGACGCTGGCGCCGGCCGGCTCTCAGAGCTCCTCGTGATCGCGTGCCTCGGGGCGAGACGAAGCATCAGATCAGAGACAAAAAGAAGCCAACTGCCCTCTTCCCAGGCCCTTTTATTCCGCCAAGAGACATTTTGCACAATTGAAAATTACCGTCGGTGACATACGTGCTTTTCTTTTTTTCTTTTTTTGTTTATTGTTTCCAACACCTGCGCGCCTTTATTCACATTCTGGCCCCGTATTCCTTCCTCTGCCCTGTTGTCGCTCCTCCAGACCCGCATATATCCCCCATTGGCCCTCCACAGTCGTCTTCTCGGCTGCATGACTTTTCCCAAGGGTGGTGTGAGAAACAGACGAATCTGTGTCAGTCAAGGTGTGAGCGTGTATGGATGGCTATGGTATACATAGGTAGGCATGGTACGGAGTAATATGCGTCGTCTCCATTTTTGGGACCCCTGTTGCTACCACGACACACACTTGGCATTTTATATTTAGTACTCATCACGTCCGCCATTCCACTCCTCTCGAGACCTGCTTGTCACTCCCTTTTGCTGTCCGTTTCCTGATTCATACTTGCTCTAGGCTTCTCTAAACCTACGTTCTGTACCTAGCTTGCGTGGGCTTTCCCTGTACGATTCTGGCTTAACGTCAGCTTACCGGGAAGACTTATTATCATACGTTATATCGCCACCAACTCCCGCTGTTGAGCACTCTCTTAAATGCGGCTCCAGTAATTGCGTGTAAATAAGCAACAATACTGGTGCTCTCCATCGACGCGGGGAAAACACGAACAAGCTCCTCCTCGGGGCCTCAGAAACCAAGAAACGAATCCTTCGCCATGTTTTATGAGACACACTACGTGCATGATGCGAAAATGGCTGCCCATCAGCCCATGCCGTACAGAGGCCCGGTAAAAGGCTCTTCGCGCAACCAGGCCTCGAAACAGTCGCGGCAATCCAAAGCGCTTGATCCTGAAGATTTGACAAGACGGCTGCAAATTGTGCTAGCCGAACAAAAAGCCGTGGCAGAGAAGAAGAAGCGGGCTAGAGCAGCAGTCGAAGCCGAGCGACAAGCAAACGCCGCAGCTGCGGCACGAAATGCAAGCGTCCTGCATCCCGGCCAGCACGGAATTCCCTTGGGACCAACTGCCCCGTCTACGTATATACAAAAGAAGCAAATAACGGCGTCGAAATCACACGGTAAACTTATATCTCGAGATTCAAGCGAACATGCGGCCAAGACAGAGAAGCCTCAAGTGGCTGGGATGAAAAATTCTACCACATCATCTAGCAACAGAAATTCAGAGGATGCCGCCCCATCCAACTACCGGCACGTCCCTCAGTTTGCTGCCTCGCAGTTTGCCCGGACGACGACTACCGAGACGGTTACGGAGAAGCATCTCCTACACAAGTTGTCCAGGAAGGCCATGAAGTTCCATATGGAAGGGCCCAACGCAATGGCTGGCATGGCAGCCTCAGACCTTACGCCATCTGAGCAGAACAAAGCACTCAGAAGAGTACAGAGTATGAGAGAGAGACAATATGAGCGGAACCAGTTTCAGCACAGTCATACACTCGCCACTACGGCCGAGATTGAGGAGAAGCCAGCATCTCCCGCTACTGCTCATACATTCCAAGAACATCGCAAGTCCAGAGACGAACCAAACAAAGACCTGCGGAGGAGAAGCGTGGGTGCTATCCTCGGCATGATGATATCAGCAGATGCCGAACCCGCCAGAGCATCATTGTCTTCTGCAGAGAATCAGTCAGTTGCCAACCACTCTGATGCCCTACCAGCCAATGCCGACGAGCACCGCGTAGATTGGACTCAGAGTGACGAAGCTGCCATTCTTCAGCAACAACAGAAGCAACAGCTGCAGCAACCGCAGCAGCCACTTAAAGCTAGTACAAGCCAACATGCGTTGCGCAAGTCTGAATCGAGATGGGCTTTGCGAACTAAGCTTGGAAGCTTTGGCAAGAAGAGCGACAAACTTTCTTCACCTACGGAAGAAAAAGACGAAGAGTCGCTCGTCGAGTCACCTAAATCTCCCCTTGCAAAAGCAGGGGGACTGTTTGCA